TTCCTTCACAGGCACTTGGTTTAAACAGAGAGAAAGACGTTCACCAAGGCTTCCAGGGGCTTCTCCATATACTGAACAAGCCCAACAAAAAGTATGCGCTGAGAACTGCCAACAGGCTCTTTGCAGAGAGCACTTGTGAATTCCTCTCAGTAAGTTGTATCACTAGAATGACATCAATTATATTCAAATACTTGTTGCTATAGATCACAGGAGAAGGACCCTAGAGAATGTGAGAAAATTAAGATCAAGTTCTAGCCAGTGTGATGATAGATACCTATAATGTCTACATTTAGAAGGCTGAGACAGGAGGGTAATGAGTTCTAGGACAGGGTTGGCTATGTAGAGAGACTCAACTCCATTACCTTCCCTAAAGACCACAATTATATAATGATATCTTGAAACATTTAAAATCTGGCTACTTATAATTTTTATTTATTTAAGTCTGGTCATTCCAACTTACAAAGACCTAGTACATGAAGATGCTTGTTGCTTAAAATGACATTTATGATCATTTTAGTTTTGTTTTTTAATGCCACAGTGTCAGAAGTTTGGGAAGCTTGCTGACGTTATATTTTGCAATGTTGCCTCACTGAACACGTTTCTCTCCAGACCTTTAAGGAGTCCTGTCTTCAGTTCTACCACTCAGAGCTGGAGCAGCTGTCCTTCGTCAAAGCAGCGGAGGAGTCCCGGAAACACATCAACACGTGGGTCTCCGAACAGACTGAAGGTCAGGATTTCAGGTTATTTCACACCCACATTCTTGTCCTTTCCATCCATCCCTCCCTCCTCTTCCCTCCTCTTTCTTTTAACTTCCCTTGTCCCCCTCTGACTAATCTCACTGTTATTTCAGAGAGTCAAAGGGATGCAGACCAGCTAGGCCACATGGTATAATTTAGACCTCAGTGAATTCATGGAGATTTTACTCAGACACTTAGACTTTAAAAACAGAGTTGTTTGTGTATTTCTCTAGGAGTGAGGGGCTGATACAAATGTTCTGAGAACTCATGGGCCTGATTTCCAGTCTAACAGATTGCATTAGAAGACATGAATGGTCTGTAGTAATGGCAGGACAAGTGACTCCACCATCTCTAAGATGGAGACGCATGGGTAGAAGTTCCCCATAATCTTGTCCTGGGCTGGATCTTCCTGCAGTCTGTGTTGCCTGAGCCTGTACCACCTTTATTCTGAAGAGGACTTCTGTTTCTGCTTCCACAGTTCTTGCCTCTCATCCCTTACTTGTATTTGGTGAAACTAGACATCATTTCCACTGAAGACACTCTGTCATGGACATATAGTTACATTAACTTAAAGGAGCCTCCCATTTGGGGTTGAACTTTATTTATTTTTATTTCAGAGTTGGCATGTTCCAGTATTGGTCTTTGAGATCATTGAAATCACTTTCTAATATTTGAACCCCACAGATGCCTCTCTACCACTAGGTACATTTTTATTTCTACTAACAGAGATATTATAGAGTGAAAGCCTTTTCTTTAAGACTCATCAATCATTTGTCAGTTCTTGTTGGAGTCTTCACCTCTTGTGTACTCTTGATCTTGTAAGTTAGCACGGATTCTCTTCTTCATTGAGGAAACTCATTAATACAGAAGAAGGGATTCTGTCCTTTCACCTGCATTATTTCTTCCAGGGATGGATTGCACTCCAAAGTATGTAATAACAATATTTCCTCCACAAGCTACTTTCTGCTTTGAGTTTCTGAACATGGAATGCTAGGTGAGATGCTGTATTAAACAGTCATGTATTAGTCAGTGTTCCCTAGAACAACACAATGAATGCATATTCCAGAGGTGATTTAATAGATAGGCACACACAATACAGGTTAAGTAGTCCAATAGTGGCCATCTGCATGTGGAGAGGCTAAGAATCTGGTATCTGCCCAGTCTATGAAGCTGGAGACTTCAGCAATCTCAATCTGGCCTGGAAGGTCCAGAGTATTCCAGAGAGCCACTAGTCTTAGCACACATGAAAGTCTTAGCACACGTGAACTTCAGTGTCAGCTGAAAATGCAAGGTACAGTGGTGTGAATAGTGTCGATGCACTCACCAGCAGGGACTGAGGCAGGCAGAGCAAAGCAGTGCTGCTTCTCTCTTGGTCTTTATATCAGGGCAGCACAGGAAGCTGTTGCTCACATGGAAGAGTGTCCTCTCCATTAGTTACTATTTCTGGGAAATGTCCTCACAGTCCTGCCCAGAGACAGTTCTCTTGGTTGATCCAGACCCAGTGAAGATGGCAACCATCAGTAGCAGGTGGGGAAACCCTGGTGCCCTGTGATCCCTTCCACATTTCCAGCTTCTTTGTTTTTCATCCTGGAGTCATTTTTTTTCTGCTTTTCTGAAATCTACTTTTCTTGAGAGACTTGAATGTCTTTCACCATCTTCACCTTGGCCGTGTTCCTCCAGTGTCTATGACCTTGAGTCAAAAAGGGTGTTGGTAAGTTGTTTTGATTTATTTGTTCATATGTTTATGCACATTCAGCAATTGGTCCAGATGTCATATCAGTTCATTAAACACACGTGTATAGCATGAACCTGAATGAAATCTCTGCTTCTCAAAAGGGAAAATTCCAGAGTTGCTGTCGAATGACTCAGTTGATGAAGCGACAAGGCTGGTTCTTGTCAATGCCTTATATTTCAAAGGAAAGTGGCATCAACCATTTGACAAAGATAGCACAAAGGAAATGCCCTTTAAAATTAACAAGGTAAGGAACCGTATTCAAAAGTTCATGCCAGTGTGATGAAGAGATTGCATGGAAAGGTGTAGTCATGAATGTGAAGCTCTGGGGCTCAGTAGTAGAATCCCACCCATGTCCTGTGTGGGTGCCAGGCTTGATCCTCAGCCCAGAAAGAGAGAGAACAGGAAAGCACAGAAAACCAATTGAAACATTTATTTTGAATGATGGTTAAACTCCATAAAAAATGATAGGAATATAGAGTATTTTCTGCCTGTATTATTTTGCATTCTGTTGGTGGCTATTACTGCTTTTGATAATTTCTCATGTGACCATTGCTTCTACATCATTTCAGAAAATTTTCCTGTAAGTTCCAGAATGTCAAAATTGAGCTGCTAAAGTAGTATATTGTCTGGACAGAGCTTGATAGATAGAAAGCATGATAGATAGCAGGCTAGAAAGACATATGCAAACATTTATTTAGTGGTATAATTTTTAATCAAAAAGCATTTGAAATTATTGGACAATTTGTCATAATTAAGCAGTATTTATACATTTCTAATACCGTAACAGGGTGATTAAGGTATCAGTCTTAATTGGAGTATAATTTGAATTAAAGTATATATTAGGATAGCTTGCCCAAAGCATATAAAATACAATTTAATTCACTTTGGAGTCTTATGAATGTTAAACTCCTCATTCTTTTTTTACTAGCAAAATTTAAAAAATATTATAAATGAATGAGTTCTTTTAATGGGCAATTTGTAATTAGTAAATGAATGAGTTCTTTTATTGGCTCCCTCACTTGTAAAGGGTGGATAAGAATGTTTTGCTTTGTATTGGGTCATCAGACTGTAATACATCACAAAGATAGATGGAGTTTTGTTCAGAGGGAATGACTAACACATCAGAAATAGGATTTTTATCATTTAATATGCTCATCAATTATATTTAAGGAAACAACATGTAAGTAACAGAATAAATTTTCATCAAATGACTGGATTACTGTCATAGTCATGTGAATGGGACTACAGACAGGTATATCCTCTCAGGAAACAGTCTGGAAACAGGAGCACTCATGCTCAGAGGTTCATGATGGGTCACAGCCTTCTACCCCACCACAGAGCAGAGAGCTCCAGAGCACAGGTACTCACAGTCATAGCGTAGAGCTCCATCCTGATAGCCCATTAGGGAGAAGGAAAATCTCAGTTAAATGGCTACAAATTGGGGACCCTCTGGAAAGACCTCCATGTATCTTTGTGATGAAATTACAGTCTGATGACAGACAGAAAAATTTTATCAACCCTTTAAAAGTTGGGGGGCCACCTGGACAGAATCTCATGAATCTTTCTTTGATTTAATCCAATTGTTTTGGTTCTGATAGCCCAGGGGTATTTTTTAAAATACGGAAGTTGAACACATGAGAATATTTTAATTAAAATGATGCGTTAAATTTCAAAATTTGCTCTGATTCCACTTGTTGATGGAATATGACCTGAGAGTTGTAAGATGAAACAAACCCATCCTCCCCATATTGCCTTTGGTCATGGTATTTCATCACAACCATAGAACCCTATCTACAACAGTCCCATACTTGCTTACAACAAATATTTTTAAGGAAAGCAGGAAGAGGCTGGCAGACATTGACTAAGTGGTCAATGAAACATGAATAGTGTTTGCATTGTATTAATTGATATTAACTGCAGCTCATTTGGAAACCTTCTGAACTCTGTCAATAATATCTTTTATGTCTTTGATTTGTCTGTTCAGAGAGAGCAAAGACCAGTGCAGATGATGTGTCAGGAAGACACTTTTAAACTCACCTACGTGAAAGAAGTTAAGGCACAGGTGCTGGTGATGCCCTATGAAGGCACGGAGCTGAGCTTTGTGGTCCTGCTCCCAGATGATGGTGTGGACCTCAGAAAGGTGAGGCGGGAAAGTCTGTAGCAGTTACCACTCTAAATGTCCATGAGAAGAATCCAGTGTCCCCGGTGTCCTTTCTCATTAGAGTAGAGCTCAATGTTTTCAACTTGGCACCAGTCATATGAGTATGTAGTTCTCACACACTCAGCTTCCAGCTAGGTGCAGTCCCTGTGTTTGAGGATCAAAGCTGTGTCCAAGACTTCCACTGTGGATTGTGAGACCTTGCCATATGACATAACTTCATCACTAGAATGGGAGAAATAGACCTGATAGGATGAAGTGAGGACAACCCAAACAAGAAACTTGGCACAGTGGTTGGAAAATAGTCCCCCTCCATAAATACAGCCCCATAGCATGATCTTTGTTAGTATTTTGTTTTAATTTCTGAGAACACCAAATAACAGAAAAATATTGCACGTTTACCCAAGAAAGAGGAAGAGGAGGGAGGCAGTCGGGGAGGGCAGAGTCAGGCACACCATAATGGCACATCTAGGACTCCCTTGCAGCAGGACACCCCATCCTCTGAATGGAGAGCAATGGAATATGCATGACCAAAGGAGTCTTTATGAGCAAAACATCTCCCCTGGCTCATTCCATCCAGCTCCCTGACTGTGGCATCATTTCTCTAGTGTGTCAGTTTTTCATCATTGACAAAATGCCTGACATCAACAATCTATGGGAGGAAGGATTTATGTTGGATCACAGATTCAAGAGGCTCATTTCAAGTTACCTTGCCCATCCATGGGTTTGATAGTGATAGGTACTTGTGGAAGAGACTGCAGACCTCTTAGTAAACAGGAAGCAGAGAAAGGAGAAACGACAAAGGACCAAGGATGACCTTCATAGGTACACCTCCAGTAACTACTTCCTTTATTAAGGGTTCAGAAGTGAGGCTTTCAGTGTAATTTTATATTTAAGCCACAACAGCTCAGAAAACACAAAGTATATCCCTAGATAAACATTCATTCTGATGTGGCCCACACCAAGTTCTATGTTTCCAATTTTTAATGTTTTTTATTAGTAATGATATACTATCTTCAGAGCTAAGTCTAGATTAAGAAAACAAAAGCAAACATAACCTATTCCATAATCTCTTGCACATGAACGCCTGTAAGAATTAAAGATGTCTCAGAAATGATGCAGAGGACAGCAAGGTCTTCCCAGTCCTGTGCTGCTTGGCTTCCATGCTTATCAGAGAAGCCTCATAAAAGCTAGTAAGACAGTGAGATCCTCATACTATCTGGCCCTATGAATAGACAGTGCCCCCTGCAGGATGATGAAGGGAACTGAGAGCAGGTTGTACCCAGGATCCTCTCTGTAAGACCTCAACTGTGAATCTGAAAGTCTCTAATTCTACTTTGCCAGGTGGAAAACAATCTCACTTTTGAGAAGCTAACATCCTGGACCAAACCAGACTTTATGAGGAGCACTGATGTTGAGGTTTTCCTTCCAAAATTTAAACTGCAAGAGGATTATGACATGAAGTCCGTGTTTCAGCACTTGGGAATGGTAGATGTCTTCCAAGGGGGCAAGGCTGACTTATCAAGAATGTCTCCACAGAGAGACCTATATCTGTCCAAGTTTGTTCACAAGAGTGTTGTGGAGGTCAATGAAAAAGGCACCGAGGCTGCAGCAGCAACAGCGGCCATAGATGACCACTGCTCCGCAAGTGAAGTCTCAACATTCTGTGCAGACCACCCCTTCCTTTTCTTCATCAGGCACAACAAAACCAACACCCTCCTGTTCTGTGGCAGGTTCTCTTCTCCGTAAAGGCACATTTACTATGTGGGAAACAGTTACTCCTACAGCTCTGTGAGGATGGGCATATGGGGGACACCATGTTCCAAGATGAGGGCACTTTCCTCCTGGCAGCCTGATCTTAGGATGCCCACATTCCTCTCCCCTATCCTGACATTCATCAGTGCCCTTTGCCAGGTCACAGGATCACAGAGTGGTTGGGTTTCCTGTTGTGTAAACAACAAAGGAGACAAACATTTCTCACAAGGGAGACTACAAAGTTCTCGAGGGTGACCCTAAATCAATGCCCCCTCACTGCACAGACAAGCCATGCCAGCTCTACCTGCTGTCCTGTCCTGGCTCCTTGACTCTCGCCATCACTCGCCTTGACCTGCTTACATCATAGTAAATGCTTCTGTGGATGATGACAGCTACTGCAGTTTACTAGTGATTGGTTCTTAATGCACATTTTAACTTTATCTTCTTTGCTGTCCACCACTCACCAGTAATGTGCCCACCACTGAGTTAGGCTTGGGGACAGGTACTGACAATGTGGTCCCCTAACAGCTGGCCTTTACTATCTGCTTTCAAGTTATCTAGCTGTCATGAGAGCTGTCTTGGACTATCACATGTTATCCTTGTAGAAGTCATACTTCTGTAGACTATTGTGTTTGTCCACCATCAACTGTAATAGTTAAATTCTATGAAGTCCTTAAAGGTTATTTCAAAATAAATTTATTTTTCTAACCAACCATGTGTGCTCTCTGAACTTTAATTGAACCACATAGAGAAGTTGCTTTATCTGTTAACCTTCTGCATCTTGGATAATCCCAACTAGAATCCATGGTCCCCAGGGGCCAGGGTTATGTCTTTCTATGCCATATGGTCCAGGCTGTGCAACTAAAAGGCAGTTAGAAGTGATTTCACCTTGTAAGAGTGCCATAATGGGGCTGGACAGATGGCTCAATGTTAAGTCAGCTTGCTGTTCTTGTAGAGGACCCAGGCTTACTTCCCAGAACCCACATGACTGCTAACAACTTCCTGCAACCCCAGTTTCAAGGAAGCTTATGCCCTCTTTCCTCTTCAATGGGCTTCTATACACACAGGGTCCACAAGTCCCCACTCAGACCCACACGCATACATATAAATTTTAGAATAAGGGCATTTCAAAAGAGAAGATCCAAAAGTTTTGTTAATGGTTGGATAATACCTACTATTGCCTTTTAAGGACTTTTTATTGCAATAATTCCTGCAACAGAAATCAACAATATGTGGATAAGAACTCCAGTGCCTGTCAGGTGTGTGCCATCTTCACCTTCAATCCCCTTTCAAACACACTGCATAACCATCAGGCACTGATTCTCTATTCTTTCCCACTTTGTAATCACCACTCTTCTCTGTTTCTGAAGATTTACCTAGTCTGTATATTTTTGTAGATTTTCACTCTGCTTTCTTAATAATGCCCTTTCATTCATACAAACTGAGTATTGTCAATGAAGTTCCTCAAATTTAATATTATTTTTATCATTCAGTCTATCCTTGCCACAGCAAAGAAACCCACTGCCATGCTCAAGGTCAAAAAGAACTGCCGCTATGTTTTCCTCCAAGGCTTTCACGGCTTGTGGCTTAAAATTATTTCACTGATCAAGTTTGAATTATATTTCATGTATGGCATGAGGTAGGAGCTCAATGTGATTCTTTCATATATAAACACCCAGTTTTCCCAGTCTGTGTTCATTGCTTTTGAATTGAAGATAGTGTTGACGACCCATGAAAAGGACAAGTATTGCTTTAACTTGTGGGGTAGTGTAGAAGTTACTCATTTACATATACTGAACAACATCGTAAGACTGAGGAAATATCAGAAATCAATGCTAAATGACGAAAGACACATAAAAATGTCTGTAAGTCAGGGATCTGAGAGATGGCTCAGTGGGTGAAGGTTTTTCCTGCCATGCCTGACAACTGCAGTTTGTTTCTCAGAATGCACCTGGGGAAGAGGAGAACCGTGTCCAGCAAGTAGTCCTCTGACCTCTCTGTGAGCACCACACACACACACACACACACACACACACACACACACACACACACAAATACACAGTTCAAAGGATAAATAACCATATAAATCAGATAAAATCAGTCAATAAATTAATAATCAGGAAAATACACATAAAATACCATCAATTTGCTGTCAGGAAGAAATCTTATCAGGGGAAGCCAGGGAGTAGTGTAACAGGGGCCATGGGATTACAAAACTGATAATGCTCTCCCAGGACATACTCTGGCCATATCTTTAGTCAGCTGTGTGTCCAGCATTTTCTAAGGTTCACTCCAGCACATATCTTAGTGATGTCACCCACTAGTCCATGAAAGGAGAGTGCCTTGGATGCTGTCTGTAGACACATTTGTAGCAGTAAAGAAATGGACCCAGGTGTCTATCTCATACAGTAGTTAAGAAAGCATGCTGCACACTGAATATAGAACAAGAGTTAGAAAGTTGTGCCGTCTCTTTTTAAGACAACTTGAGAAGATGGTGAACCACACTAGCTGGCTTCCTCTTCAATGTAGAGTTTCATATACAAGATTGTTTTGAAAAACCTGAGGAAAATCACAAGCCACCCCTAACACCTGCTGCCACCTTCTTCCCAAAAAGGGCCCACACCATCTCTTCTCTTCAGGTCACACTCTCTCTCTCCTGGGTCCTCCAAGACTTGCTGATCCATTCCAGGACCAGCTGAATGGAAACTCCACCCCTTTTCAATTGAACAATGAACCAGAGACATAAACAGAAATCCAGTAACAGTTTCCCTTTTTTGGCTAATAAAATGGGAAAGGTTCTAACTCTAACATAGTAAAACTATATACAATAAGAATTTTTTTTTTGTTTTTTTTTAAGACATGGTTTCCCTGTGTAGTTTGGTGCCTATCCTGGATCTCACTCTATAGACTAGGCTAGCCTTGAACTCACAGAGATCTGACTGGCTCTGCCTCCTGAGTGCTGGGATTAAAGGTACAATAAGAATGATTATCAAGTATTGTTCAAATAGAAAAGAAAGATAATAATCTTAATAAAAAAGAAACTACATACAACAAGAACAATTATCAAGCAAGAAATACATTTTCAATGTCCAGTCTATAAGTACTTGGCAAATTTAGAGAGATTATTCTGTTATTAACCTGAAGAGTGCAAAGTTTTGTACCTAAAATCTTTTTACCATGACTCAGGGGAACTACAACTGTCTAGTCTTCACCCTTCACCCTTTTTCTTTTAAGAATGAGATCCCTGAATCTAATCTCATATATATATATATTACTATACTCAAAAACAACTTGTTACTAACTCCCTTATATGATGAAAAATATTGATAACCCAGTGTAAGACCAAAAATCAACCACTCCACCTTTTGAAATGTGGGTGTCATGTTCTGAAAATTACTTCCTGATGTCTGGGGAGCAACAGAATCTCTAAGGAACCCTGAAAAAATTGAATCAATGGTCAAGTCTTGGGAGACTAGCTGTATCATTTGTTGCCAGACTCTGTGGAATGGGAAAGTGTAAGGCTTATCTGAAGTCCTGGCTGGAGTAGTACATTAGGGTGGACCATCTCAGCTAGCCACCTTGGAATTGTCCTGAGCAGTTTGTAGCTCAAAGCATAATAGTCAAACTTATAATCAGGTTAGGTATGTTCTCAAGGTCATACACAGATAAATTTAGACAGATAAATGGTCTTCAAACACTTCAAAGACCTATAGAATATGGCATCTAATATGTGTAACCACATAAGGCTTTTTATGACAATGATACATGTCTGCTTGTGACAGCACTCATTTACTTCAAAAGATGATGGCCTTCGAAAAACCTCCATATGGAGTTTGCTTTCTTTATGTAAAAAGCTAGTCATCTGAGCAAAGAAACTGTCCTTGCCTCAATTGCTGACTGTATACTATACAAACTGGACCAACAGGAGGCAAAACAAGGTGACTGTCAAACTTTGTCAAGACAAGGTAGGCCAGGCCTTGAAAATTCCTGCTTCTCAAAAATGTCTGTCAGATATACTAGGCCTATAGGCCAAAGTTGGATACTCCAACATTACAAAAGAAACTAGGATTACTATTTAGGCAGCCAAATGTCCCTGTTGTTAGGCAACATATTACCCTTCTGGGGTCTTTGATGGAGTTAAAGACTCGATAGTCATAGTTAAACTTTTCCTTAGTTATGACAAAAGGTAAATTAGGTATAAAACTTTAGAGTCATAAAGATAAGTTAGATAATAGAGTATTTTCTTTAAGTTTGCCAAATAAAAATGGACTTTATAGTGTAACTATAATTCTAACTGGATAACTGGTTCTTGTTGTATATAATTTCACTCTGTTGAAGTTAAAATCTTTTTTAATTAGAAAAAAGGGGGAATATGGAATATTCCTTTATACTGTGTGATTATATGTCACTGTGACTGGTTTAATAAAGAAGCTGACTGGCCAATAGCTGAGCAAAATAAGGTTAGGCAGGAGACCCAAACTGAGTGACTTGGTTGGGAAAAGAAAGGTAGAGTCAGAGGAGTCCAAGCAGATGCAGAGAAAAGCATACCCTCCTGAGAAAAGGTACCAAGCCATGTGGCAAAGCATAGATAAGAAATATGTGTTAATTTAAATGAAATAGTTAGCTAGTAACAAGCCTGAGCTATTGATCACATATTCATAATTCATATTAAGTCTCCATGTAGGTCATTTGGGAACTAGTATGAGAAAGAAACATCTGCCTATGAACACTATTGACAGTTCAAGACATGTCTTAACAGACTTGTAAAATACCGGGAACTATTCCTGGTGGTAGATAGGTCCCAGGAGAAGATGTAAGGCTTTAGTGTGAGTGGAGTGAGCCAGGCCATGGTGGTCGGGAGAATCTTGCAGCCTGACTGACTAGCAGCCAGAGTGCTCCTTTATTTATACAGAATTTAGTAAGCAGGGATACATTCATGATGTTCTAAAACATATCATTTGTTTTTGGACATATGTTTTACTTCCTCTTGCTCATCTTTTAGTCATTATTGTGACTAAACTGTGACAGAACAGAGTTATTTCCAATCATTTTCCCTCAAGTTTTGACATTATTAATAAACAGACTTATCATTTTTATTCATTAACCCTATAACCCAATTTTTAAGAATCTAGAGGCATATGACAGCCTGTTTTCAATCTGGTAGCTTTTGTGGCTACAAGAACATTTAAACCAGAACAAAATTTTCAAGCCAGCCTGGTCATATGGTCATGTCCCAAGCAGTGTATTATTAACTCTTAATGGTCTGAGTACTCCAGAAAAATCCTCAGGCCAACGCTGCTACAGTTATTATTCAAATTTTGCCATAATACAATGTTCACATTTATATCATTATAAAATTTCTTTATAAGTCTAATCCTGGCATTCTGTTGTTCCTTGGTCATATGACACCATAGTGGCTCTGCATGTACAAACTTTTCTAAGAGAGGGAGGTCCTGATATCTCATTCTTTTATCATCTTTCCACTCCATACT